TATAACCATATCTAAACATAGTCTAAATGTAGAACGATATTTGAAAATTATCCCACATGTGTTTCTTTTGAACGAAAAATTTATTTTGAGGAGAAATAACGATTATTTATAACCTTAGCGATGAAGTATGATAGGATGAATTGTGAAGAGTAATGTTAAACGGAAAAATAAAAGTGTCCAGGGATGGGAATCGAACCCACAATGTTCCGCTTACCGGGCAGATGCCATGTCCACTAGGCTACCCTGGATCCGTTTATCATTACTCTTTACAATTCAACCTTTCATACTTCATCGCTAAGGTTAGAAATTGTATTATATTGTATTATAAAATAGTCTAAATGGTTTATTATCATAAATTCTATAATGTCAGATGATGTGGATTCTTTCAACCAACAGAGATTCAGAGATGAGAGATAGCCTAACCATAAAAAGAATAATTACCCAGTATTTATTAAACAATAACATTTGATACTTTATCGAGTCTTTTATTGGTTATTAAAACTCAAGATTTCAAGCATCCTGGTCTTTTACTTGACTTAAGAGACCGTTTCGTCCTTTCAACATATAGAAAAAGAGAACTAGGCATTCCAAATTATTTGACAAACAGCAGTTTTAATCTTTTCAGTTATGCGGGAAAAATGTTGTTTATTTGTTGAGTGAACTGATCACCACGCCTTCTCATTGGACCAATGTGGCCATGTTTGTATATAAAAGAGGGTTGAAACGGAATGCGAGGAGTCGTGGAGTGGTGTTCGAGTGGAGACGCTTAAAGCGTTCTCTGTGTGCTTGTCTGATGATCTCCTCGCATACCTGTGTAACCCCGGTCAGCTCCTTAACAACGCTGCATATAAAAGATAAGTACTGTTTTAATTTTATTTAACAAATCGTGCTTTTTTTATTTACCCCCATTTTGTTGTTGGTGTTGTACTCTTGAGTGTACCCTTTTCTGTGTTAAAGTTACTCTTACTGTAGGCCTTAGTGTATTGATTTTTGTGTGATAACCCGTAATAGTAACTTTTGTCAGGCTAATCACAGGAAGAATAAACACCCAGTATTTATTAAATGAAGTCAGTTAATCCTTTAGCGAAGCGTTATTTTATTGGTTGATAAAACCCAAGATTTCAAGCATCCTGATCTGCTATTGGCTGAAGAAACTGCTTCATCCTTTTAACCTGTAGAAAATAGAGATAGGCTAATCAGGGAAGACCAATAACCCAGTATTTCTTAAACAATAACAGTTGATACTTTAGCAGAGAGTTCTTTCATTGGTGGATGAAACTCAAGCTTTAGAACGCTTTGGTCTGTTATTGGCTGAAGGGATCGTTTAATCCTTTTAAACTTTAGAAAAGCATCCTGCAGGAAAGCCTCTGTATAATCCTCTAATCAAAGACATACTTCGTTTAACGACCTATTGTCGTTATTGAAGTTTGAAAACTTACCTCAATGTCTCGACTCTTTTTCAACATATTCAATTTATATTTATAGTTGAAATTCCCATGGATACACAAATCTTGTTTGGCCCTAGTACATTTTTATCTTACTCTATAAAGAAAAAAATGACATTTTTATTTTTCTCAGAATCAAATTGAATCTTTTTCAAATAACAAATCATGTAACGAATGTAACGCACAAATATACACTCATGGACAACATTTTAGGAAATGGAAATTTTCAATGTCGCTGACCTTTTTTTTTCAAGGAGACAGGAAATTTTGTTCACACTTGGTTATTTCGTGTGTCTTCAATAAAGGTTACTGTAATATCTTACAGAGTTATTGTCTGAATCCCGATATACATGCTAAAATGTATAACCTTCTTAAGTTTGTCCATGAGTGTATACACACTTGGTTATCTCGTGTGTTTACAATAAAGGTCACTGTAATATCTTTCAGAGTTATTGTCTGAATCCTTATATACATGCTAAAATGTATAACTTCCTTAGGTTTGTCCATGAGTGTATACACACTTGGTTATCTCGTGTGTCTTCAATAAAGGTCACTGTAATATCTTTCAGAGTTATTGTCTGAATCCTGATATACATGCTAAAAGGTACAACTTCCTTTATTTTTGTACATGAGTGTATATACACTTGGTCATCTCGTGTGTCCTCAATAAAGGTCACTGTAATATCTTTCAGAGTTATTGTCTGAATCCTGATATACATGCTAAAAGGTACAACTTCCTTTATTTTTGTCCATGAGTGTATATACACTTGGTTATCTCGTGTCTCTTCAATAAAGGTCACTGTAATATCTTTCAGAGTTATGTTCTGAATCCTGATATACATGCTAAAAGGTACAACTTCCTTTATTTTTGTCCATGAGTGTATATACACTTGGTTATCTCGTGTGTCTTCAATAAAGGTCACTGTAATATCTTTCGGAGTTATTGTCTGAATCCTGATATACATGCTTAAAGGTACAACTTCATTAAGTTTTGTCCATGTGTATATTCTAGATGAAAATTCTACAGGAAATGAATTGATTTATAAAAGAAGAAGGTTACCTCTCCCGTCAGAATAAGCCACCAAAACTAAGAGCCATCTCTCAGATTTGGGTGGGTTACAAAGCCCGAACACCAGTTTGATAAATTTAAAATGTCCACCTGGGGATATTTCCGGTTTATGTTCGTGCTACAATTAATACTAATTGGTATGTTGATTAACAAAGCACTTAAATCTTATATACAATATTGTAACAGAATATTTACATTAGCAGAGTTATTGTTTGAATCCCGATATACATGTCAAAAGGTACAACTTCCTAAAGTTTTGTTCATGAGTGTAGCTCAGTGGTTGAGCGCTCACTTCTCAAGTGAGAGGCCTTGGGTTCAAGCCCCGGTATCTCCACTATTCTTTTTTAGATTAGCTGCGGTGTTCGGTGGAAGGATGGTTTAAACCATTGGTTTTCGACCGCTACGACATGGGATCGATTCCCGCATTGAGAACTTTTTAATTTTTTTTTTAATTCTCCAATAGCCTCTGATTATTGCAAAAGTCCAACTCACCAGCGAGTGCAAGTAACCAAACGGGGCTCTGACATATTTGTAAGTGAAAAAATCGAACTGCTTTTCACGTGTGTAGACATGTGATGCACTTACAGTAAAAGCAGTCACCAACTTCTACTCACCATGATTGACATGGCCTGTACCCCCTGTACTAGAGATAATAAATACAAAAAAGAGCTTCGAGCGATGGTTACTAACAGATAAATTTGGAGAATATTTGTCTATATAGTCAACAAAAGATTGATTTGATGGAGGCTAACAACAACAACAATGAGAGAAAATTGGAGAGAAGTGAACTTCAGGAATTGGTTTAACCATGGAGATAAGCATCACCACAATGAGAGAAATGACTTGATTGACAACACTTGCACATTCAGAGAACAAGCAACATTAAAGTTTGATATACGTTTCTACCTTGACCTCAATCTATCTGTATACGACGAGTTTGCACAGACGTCAAACTACGTTTCAATAAAAAGTGCGATTTGTCCAGAGTTATGTCATTGCAATTCCTCAAAGTCCCACGACGCACGCCAGCTGTCAGCACGCTAGAAGTCCAGCACGCCAGTCTGGACTGTAGTCCAACAAAGTTGGGGTCCTCAAGGATAGGAAGGGATTGGTGACAGATTCGTATAACCCGGTGGTGTTAGACAGCCACGATCTGGGATCGAACCCCGCTTTGGGTACATACATTTTTCTGAGATAAAATTACACTTATAGGCAAACTTAAGGAAGTTTTACTTTTTAGCATGTATATCGGGATTCAGACAATAACTCTGAAAGATATTACAGTTACCTTTATTGAAGACATACGAGATAACCAAGTGTGTATACACTCATAGACAAAACTTAAGGAAGTTTTACTTTTTAGCATGTATATCGGGATTCAGACAATAACTCTGAAAGATATTACATTGACCTTTATTGAAGACATACGAGATAACCAAGTGTGTATACACTCATAGACAAAACTTAAGGAAGTTTTACTTTTTAGCATGTATATCGGGATTCAGACAATAAGTCTGAAAGATATTAGATACACAGAGATCTTTATTGAAGGCACACAAGATAACCAAGTGTGTATACACTCATAGACAAAACTTAAGGAAGTTTTACTTTTTAGCATGTATATCGAGTTTCAGACAATAAGTCTGAAAGATATAGATACACAGATATCTTTATTGAAGGCACACGATATAACCAAGTGTGTATACACTCATAGACAAAACTTAAGGAAGTTGTACCTTTTAGCTTGTATATCGGGATTCAAACAATAAGTCTGAAAGATATTTGATACACAGTGATCTTTATTGAATACACCCGAGATAACCAAGTTTGAACTGCCTCTGTATTTAAAAAAAATAGACCAACAGCATCATAAAAGACTTTCCACTTTCTTAAATTTTGCCCATGTGTAGTATACTTCAATAGCATCCGATTCTTGCAAAAATTCCAACCCCACCAGTCTGTGCAAGTAACATAACAAGACTCAGACACATTATTAAGTGCAAAAGTTGCATTCTACATGTGTAGACATGTGGTGCACTTACAGTAAGAGTAGTTACTTACTACAAACCAAGACAGAGATGGCTGGTGTCGCATCGTGTTCGGGATGTAATACATACAGTGGGTCACAACGTTCGATCGCGGATAAAATTATATTTTTATTAGGTAGGATAAGTACCAAAGAATAATTTACACTAAAGCTGCTTCTTTCCATCGACCAACGTCAAAGATGGACTCCTACAGGCCGTGGATTGAAAATTTGCATCAAGTTCAGAAGATTCGGATTGTAATATGAAAAAAAAAAAAGAAGCACTCGAGTATTTTGAGCATCAAATGAGCACTTTAAAGTAAACCTTCACAATTTATCCTTGTTGTATAACGTAATTCGCACAACGTCAATGATGAACTTCTACAGGCCGTGGATTGAAAATTTGCATCAAGTTGAGAAGATTCAGATAGTAATATGAAAAAAAAGCTCAAATGAGAATTTTAAAGCAAACTTTCACAATATTATCCTTGTTGTATAACGTAATTCGCACAACGTCAATGATGAACTTCTACAGGCCGTGGATTGAAAATTTGCATCAAGTTGAGAAGATTCAGATAGTAATATGAAAAAAAAGCTCAAATGAGAATTTGAAAGCAAATCTTCACAATATTATCCTTGTTGTATAACGTAATTCGCACAACGTCAATGATGAACTTCTACAGGCCGTGGATTGAAAATTTGCATCAAGTTGAGAAGATTCAGATAGTAATATGAAAAAAAAGCTCAAATGAGAATTTGAAAGCAAATCTTCACAATATTATCCTTGTTGTATAACGTAATTCGCACAACGTCAATGATGAACTTCTACAGGCCGTGGATTGAAAATTTGCATCAAGTTGAGAAGATTCAGATAGTAATATGAAAAAAAAAAGCTCAAATGAGAATTTGAAAGCAAATCTTCACAATTTTATCCTTGTTGTATAATAAAATTCAACCAAAATCAAATAAATGGTTACTTAAGTTACTTAAATTGCCTTTAAAAGTTTATCACAAAGATGTTATATCTATCTAAGACCTCCAGCGAAGACGGCCTTTGACCCCCTACTGTGACCTTGAAAGCCAGGGTGACTCCCTCAGACTGGAATCTTTCCTACATCCAATGTTACCGTACTCAGTTCCTATTTTTCTTGGATCTTAGAAATCTCAAAGGTTTCATCTCTCCTTAAAGTAATTTTCAGCTTTTTAAAAGTCTAGACAAAAGTCCAAAGTGTTCGATGGTATGCTAGTTTTCCTATTCTAATATTCTTATAGGAAATCTCTCTCTCTCTCTCTCTCTCTATATATATATATAGATGGAAATTTTGCCGGGAGGATATTGATCTATAGAGACAAAGGGGTCGCCTCTATATATACATCTCCACCAAACTCTGCAGCGCTGGCAGAGGCGCCATGTTCTTTGTACATAGTATGATGCATATATATATAATTATATATTTTTAAATAGTTCAGACTGTGCACTTTGCATGTATTGACAAGATGTCAATAAAATTATTTTAATTGTCATTGTCTATATTAATAAAAAGTAGAAAGAATTTTGTGTAGGTTTGCCTGTTTCCAAATTTGACCTAAAGCTCGATAAAGCTTTGATTACACATAGAATAAAATTTAAAAATCTACTGATCGAAGTGTCTGATATTTCAATAACAATGGATGCTGACCAGGCAACTATTCAAGTTATATATTCCAGACCTTTCTGGAAGGAATCTCTCTTATAGTTTCCACCTCGTACTATGCAAATTTTACTATTACCATTTAATTAGCATATTCTACTGGTTCCATGGTTGTGTCTTGTCCGCTAATCAGTGGTTGTGTCTTGTCCATGCCCCATGGAAAGAGGGGGTGCCATTGCCCTGTTAGTCAGCCACATTTCAGAGTTCCCTGTTCATGGTTACCGTAGTGGCTAGGGGCTCACGGCACCGTACTATAGGGCAGTGTATTACTTGTGCTGCGACTTGTTCCCTATACGTTTCAATAATATTCGACCTACCCAAATAAAACTTTGACAGACATAAGAGTTAGATAAGAAGAAATGACTATCATAGCTTCAAGCTTAGGATAGGCATATTAACTGAGTAGACATTGATTTGTATATTCCGTTCAGTCCGAATACCCGAGCGATGCCTGTGACTAGTGTTCGAATATAATTCGCTGATGATGTCATTCTTGATAATGAGAATTCCTCAAAATTCGGTCAGATGTATCAAAGAATAATGTTTTTATAGGTCTTGATGAAGTTCTATCTGAAGTTTTTAAGTCTCTAAGGAAATTACTACGACCTTTTTCAATTTATACTCTGTATTCAGACATTTTACCCTTAAACAACCTATATTAACATTCTCAGTCAATGATAAGGAGGAATAAACTATAGCGTATAAACATACATCTATACTAGGTCGAGAAGTCTACCAAAACGATGAAGAGTCCTCCACGCATTTATAGATTCCTTTTTTATTTGCCTCATTTTCAAGGTCATGCGGAAAACTTCAGAATTCTCGCTTTTAACAATTTGGAATAATGAAGATCCACTTCGAGACGTCGGCCAGACGACGGATCGGGTGACAGCAAACAAACAACAAAAGATTAGAGCGCGGCCTGGTCTGCTGACCAGTGGGTGTTTTCCTCTGTCCTCTTAACGTGTTTTAATAAAGTTAGTTTGAAGGAGACTTTTACCCTCTCCTTTCTGCTATTTAGTGATCTGATTTAAATCCTTGCATCACCCCACAAAAGAATCATCACTGCGAATTCTTCTACCGAATTTCGCATCAGTGTTTTGTGAAACGATTATCAGACTTTTCTTCACAACTAAGGTAGATATCCCAAGATCCACTTCATTCAGGCATCTCATTCAAATATTCAATCCTTATTGAAAAGTCGCATCAATATTTTGTTTTTGTTAACTTAATCTTAGATATTTTATGTATTTGAAGGTTGTTAGAAACGTGTTTTTCCCCGATCAGCCACACCGAGTGTCACAAACAAAATCCCCAAAGAAGCAGCCAGTGAGTCAGGCGGCCAGGCAAGAAGAAGGTAATGACCACGAAGTAGGGAAGAACAGGTGGTTTAATCCTCCAGGTGCAGTTCGGTCCAAGGTCTGGACTCGTGCCAAACAGCGCAGACAAAGGCTTGCGAAACTCAATCTGCCATCTTGGGAGACAAAAAATTGAAGCGATTTGTGCAAAACTACTTCTTTATCGCCCCTGGTTGTATCGGTGAATCATTCGGGTCTTTGTTGCCTCTCCTTGCCGGTCGTTTGCATAATGGACGTGGTTTATAGAGCACGCCGCCTG